TTTCACACCCTCTCATTGTTATTTTTATTATTTGCTACACGGAGAGAAATTTAGAGGAATCTTTCCAACAATTATGGGAATGGATCCTATAATAAAATTATCATTATAGGCATTAATCCTATACTCATTATGGGAACCATACCCATAATTTATTGGAAACGTTCCTATACAATAATGGAATAACTTCGATATATTATGGGAATGGTTCCTATAATATTATGGGAATGGTTCCTATAATATTATAGGAATGGTTCCTATAATATTATGGGAATGACGCACATGATAATAGAAAAAAGTTTATTTTCTTAATAATGAAGCAATCACTTCAAAAATATAAAGTAATTATTATGTATTTTTTTGCTAATAAATTTTTTTTGGTAAATAAAAATTGATCTTTCACTAGAGTGAAAAAATTTCTTTTTCATAATTTTTATTCACGTGTGTACTTAATCTTGAATTATTTGTTCCAGCTTAGTTATTATTGTGTTTTATATATATATATATATATTATAATTATAAAAAAGAATCACTTAATCAAAAAAATAAATCTAGTGAAAAGAAATTAATTAAATACCACAGTTGTGTGAAAAAAATTGCTCCAATATTATTGGCATCATTCCCTATAATATTATGGGAATGGTTCCCATAATATTATAGGAATGGTTCCTATAATATTATGGAAACTATTCCTATAATGTTATGGAAACTATTCCTATATATTATGGGAACCATTCCTATATATTATGGGAATAATGTCGATATTATAGTTATAATTATAGGTATCGTTCCTATAATTATAGGAACCATTCCCATAATTATAGTAACGTTTCCCAAAAATTATGGGTATAATTCCCATAATTTAAGTAATCGCTCCTAAAATGGTATAGGAAAATATTTCATTAAAATTATAGGAATGATTTCCACATTTTTCTCTCCGTGTACAGAGAACGTCCATCCAGATATGATGATTTTCCGAACAAATATTGAAATTCTGCACAGTAAGTTTCTTTAAATACCACTCACAGCTATAGCTATAATAAACTCCAGAAAAACCTACTTCTTGACATTGATATTCTGGAACAGCCTACTCTCTCGAATAGTGGTAAAATTAAAATCATTGTCATCCGGAGATAATTTTTAACTTCCCGGTAAGATAATTGAAAATTTTCAAAAGTTGGAAAGTTATTGGTTTGACTCCGTTTTCTGAAAATCGAGTTTTCAACGGATGATGACGTTTTGAGGTCCTAGGAAGCTTCCCCGAATGTTTCCGCGATGGTGTCCGTATGTCTGTATGTATGTGTGTGTGTGTGTGTGGCCGTATGTAAACCTCTCATAACTTTTGAACCGATTTTATCGTGATTAGCGTCATTCAAAAGGGCTTAACTGAACTTAGATCTTATATACAATTTGGACCGATTCGAACCGGTAGATTTTGAGAAATTTCAAAAAAACTACAAAAAAAAATTTTTTCAAATGTGGTTTTTCTTGAATAACTTTGAAACGGCTAAACCGATCTATTCCAAAAACTAATCAGCTCTTTATATAAAAAAAACCACGTTAATCGCCGCCAACCCGGTTGAAATCGGTTGATTCGTTCCCCAGTGAACACAATTATGTCAAACTGACGTCAGAATGACGTCATGCTTTAAGTAAAATGTAAGTCATATATGAGACATATATGACTCATAATTTCCCACTTCCTGACGTAAGAATCTTACGTAATACTTATGACGTACCTATGATGTAAGTGTGACGCTTGCATGACGTTTATGACGTTTCCCGAGTCAAAATTAAAACACTAATTCGAGCCTCAAAAGCCTACTTTTTTTTTATGATGTGCCTACCGCTGAATGTGAAATACTATTTTGACCCTCAATGTACTCAAAATAGGGTATGAAGGCCAACATTAGTGATCTAGAATAATATTTTCAACCTCCAAAACCTAGGATTGCTATGAACACTTTTTTTGCAGTACTTCAGCCTAAGAGCATAAGTAAGTTAATTTTACGATTTCATGAAACATAGAATTTCATCAGTTTACAGTTGAAAACATTAACTAAGCCCATTTTTGGACTTTAAAAATTTTATTGAGAGCAGAAAGTTGAAAAATTCTAAGTCCAAAACTGGGCTAAAGTTTAAAAATTTGGTTAAAATATTATATGTTAGTAGCAATACTCATTTTTTTACACGGAAAAAAGTAAACTAATAAATAATAAGGTAGAAGCCCCAATTATTGACACTATAAGAGACAAAGTTATGATTTAATTTTTTTTAAGCAATCAAATGTCAATATCGTTGAATTTTATTTGTGGTAATGTCTCAAGTAATGTTTTTACTAATCAATTTTTTTTTTAAATGATAATCAGTGATATTTACAAATTAATTTTGAATAATTAAATAGATTATCCGGATACACCAATTATTGACAGGTTAAAAAACTGATTGATCAAATTATTAAAATACCTTAGCCCCAATTAATGACATCTATACTATGCATGTATCGATTATCTGCTTATTTTTATTTATCGAAACTTATTATTAAGTAATCAATATTATTAAAGTTTATTAATAATACTTTCCATAAATGATTAATTACCACTAAAAATTTAAAAATTAATTTAAAAATAATTAATTGAATCAGAAGAGTTCAAACTCGTACAGCAAATTTTTTAGGTTAAAGTAAAAAAAGGCGTCATATCACGCTGTTGACTGGCTGTCAATATGAGATTCAACTTAAAAATTTTGAATTAGTTATTGACACCCATTATTAAAATATTGTAAAGCATACAATTAATTTCGATTATTTAATTTTATAAATTTTTCATATATTGTTAATTAAAAAAAAAAAAGATCATTATAATTAGATGAAGAAATTAATTTAAACTCGGCATTTAAAAAAAATGCTTTTCTAACCAAAGTTGTTGAGAAAATAGACGCTCGTAAACTGGTTTGATGAACTGGTACTGACTGTATTTTTTTTTAATAATTAATATTTAATATTGTGAACTGACAGTAATTTTTTTCAATTTTTTAATTAATTAGAATTAAATAAAAATTTATATGATAGTTATTTTTATTACAGATAATTAAATATATTTAAAAATAGTTGAGGGTGTCAATATTTAGACCCCTGTCAATAATTGGGGCTTTTACTTTAGTCGATTTATAATAAGTAATGATCAACTGAAAAAAATTATCATTTCAAACAGTAAAATCGTGATTTGAATTATTAAATTTAATGATCACTTTATAATATTTATCATTTAAATGCTATATAGAATTTATTATTTACATGGCGAAAATACTATTTCAAACAGTAATATTCGCTATGTGAATGTCGAAAATGTTAAAGTGTAATAATTAAAAATTTAGACTATGATATTTATCATTTCGTACTCAAAAAATGATCGCACGGTGTGTGGGACTCCTTCGTTTTCTCCTCATTAGTGAAGCTAATGCTTTCCCGAGTCAGCTGAAAAACTAATTTCAGCTTCCAAATTCTACTTGAGGGCAAGCAGGCTGAAATCAGTTTTTTAGATTTATACATTTGGTTAATGAAACTCCTGACATTAAAATTTCTCCAACATTCGTATAGCGTTGCTGTTAGGTTGTAGTCTCGCGTGCATTAGGTGTACTGTTCGAATCTCGGTTGGAGCGATAGGTGTTTTTATAAAATTATTTATAAGGTAAGCGTTAAACTTAATTAAGATGAATGAATGTAAGTGTGATGTGAAACCTTACTCCCCCCCCTCCACCACCTTTAAAAAACTCCGAAAAAAAAATAAAAAAGAAAAATTATAAAAGACATGCACTGTTAAAAATTTTTGTAAAATTAGAATCATATTACAAAACAAATGATATGTAAAATTACAAATCAGTATATAGCAATGCGAAATAAAATACAATTCATGTAATTTTCCAACACCTGTCAGTAAATCTACTAAGATGTATTGTAATTTTACAATCTTCTTGTATAAACCTAACATGCATTGTAATATTACTGAACCGTTGATCAATTTTTAAGAAAAAGCTTTCTAATTTTGCAAACATTATTTGTGATCTGATTCGGTATTGTATGTAAAATCACAAAAAAATATTGTAATTTATATTACAATAATTTCATAAAAAATTTAAAAAGCTTTTATTTATCTTTACAATTTTCATTGTAAAATTACAAAATGCAATGTAATGTTATCAGACAATTTTAATTATATTAAACGAATTGTAATTCTACTTCACTGTTTTTCCAATTTTAAAATCAAAACTTTTCAGGTTTACAAAAATGAGACTGATGTATTAAAAAACAACAATGTCCTTCATATTTATTTATACTAAATTTTAGTCTATGATTGTTTATTTGTAATAATAAATTCGAGGCATCATTTATCTTTTATAAATTTTAATACTGCGCTCAAACAATCATTTCGAAATCGATATATTTGAATGAGTATATATGTTAGACCTTAATTTTTATAATACTCAATGAATTATAAATAATGTAAAAGTTAGTAATTTTTCATCAATAAACAGCATTAAATAACACAAATAATGTAAATAATAAACAATAAGCCGTAAAGCTCAATCACCATATAGGATTAGCTTATGAGAATAATAAGATGTTAATCACCTATCGGTCGTACGGCGTAGGGCGTTAGGTATCGGTCTGGCAAGCGCGCGGCTCGCGTTCGATTCTTAGTTAGGGTAAATATTATTTTCACTTTATATCATCAGAATTGTAAAAATTAGGTCTATGTGAGATGCAAATTCTAGTCAGCGCTTCATAAAATAAAATGACAACAAATATTAAATCAAATCTTTCTTTTTTATTATATCAATTAAAATTAAATTCAAGGAAAGTATTGTAATTTTACAAACTTAGCTAATCTAATAATATTTGTAAAATTACAAAACCGTTTTGTAAAATTAGTAACCTCACAGAGCTATACATGTTTTGTAATATTACTATACCCGATTGTAATTTTAAATAAATGTTTTGCCTATTAGCTTCCAACACATTTCTTGTAAAATTACAATAGAAATTTTTAACAGTGCATAAAGAAAACATTTTTATCAAATGTTTTTTTATTGCTAATTTTTTCGTTAATTCACATAGCGAATTTTATAAATTATGAGAATTATAAATTATAATCAATAAATAAAAAAATTATTGTTTAATTTTAAATTTTTTCCGCTCCTGGCAGCCATTTTGATTTAAATTCCTTCTCCTTTCCCTTCTTTCCTCTCACTTATTTCATATAAACCAATGAGGATCAAGGAGAGAGGAAACTTTAATGTGATGAGAATGTATATTAATCCGTTGAGCCAAACCGAATCGAAGGCTTTTTCCAAATCGATGAGTGCAGCTCCAACCAGTTTACCATTGAGTAGGTGTCTATTGATGTCCGATGAAAATTTGTGAATGGCATGTGTTGTCGAATGTCTGGCTCTAAATCCAAATTGATTGTCCGGGATTATTTTGTTGCTGTCTGTGTGTTTGATTAGCTGTATTTTTATTAATTTCTCAAATATTTTGCTGATATTCATTGTAAGGCTGATTGGACGGTAACTGGCTGGGCTCGAAGTGTCTTTTCCTTTCTTGATGATAGGGATGACTTTAGCTGTCTTCCATCTAGTGGGATAGTAAGAGTGGTTTAAATAATTATTAAAAATAATTGTATACTCTTTAATAATAGCTGTAGGAAGATGTTTAAGAACTATCATTGGGATGTTGTCTATCCCACTAGATGTTTTGTTTTTTGCCTTCTTGAGGAGAAGCTCAACTTCAATAAATGAGTGTAAAAATTTAAACTCTTCTTGGTTTTGTACAGGGTAATGTGCTGGATTATTATTGTTAAAAGTTGTGTGTGTAAGGTTGTGTTGTCTTCTGTAGCTTATTCTGTTTTTGATGTCTTCAGCCGCTGAGTCTACCAGTATCTTTGTTGTTGTTCCAAGATTGGAGTACCTGGACAAGTTTATGGATTCAAAATATTTTCCAACGATATTTAATTTGGCTATTGGTTGTGAGATGAAATACTTTCTATCTTTTTCGATGGTCTGGGTATCCATTATGATTTCATTAGAGAGTAGCGAGCTATTTTTGGGTATAAGCAAGTTGTCAATCCTTGGTGGTTCCTTGTATCTATAATATCTATTAATTCTTGGTAAAAATTTTGAATTTTCTTTGTGGTTTATGCTTTTTGCTTTGGCAACCCAGTATGCTGTTTCCGATTTTTGGAATTCCGTTGTCAGTTTTTTATTGACTATTTTAATTAGTTGTTTGATACGGGCCTGTTCATTTATTGTGAGATTTCTGTTCGCAGGTAAAAAATCTTGATGAATATCCAGGAGTTTTTCGCCAAATTTCTTCCAGTTAATTTTTTTATAATTAAATCTTATAGTAGGTGGTGGTGGCGAAATGCAGCCCATAAAAATATCATTGCAATCTATTGAGAAGCTGATTGCTTTACGATCGCTGTCATAAGGCAGGGTGGCGAGTTTCTTATTAGGACTTAGATCTTTAAGTTGGATCCGGGTGTCTGCCAAGCAATGATCGAGGTATGAACCAACGCTGGGATATGTAGGTCTATTAGGATTGTACAGTGTAGTTTTGTGTTATATTGTTTTTCTCTTCCCATCGGTTTAGTAGAGGATACCGTGATCATTAGTTTTGCTATCTCCCCATTTTGTGTGTCTAGCGTTCCAATTTCCTGCCATGATGAAGTAGGTATTGGGTCTGTCCAGTTTGAAGTCCTTGTATATCTTGTCCAGTTCTGTGATGAGTGTTCTTTTATTATTACATGCGGCGTAAATGCTGAATATGAGAAAGGTTTTGTTATTTTTGACATTGAGCTTGATGGCGGTGTATTCTATTACTTTGTTGGTTAATGAGTTTGGGTATATTATTGGAGTAAAACCAAATTTTTTGTTGATTAATATAGCGGTGCCTCCTCCATTTTTGGTATTGGGTCTGTCAGTTCTGATCAATGTGTGTTCATTGAAACTCAGTATATGTTTAGAGTTTAGCTTTGTTTCGGAAATCAATGCTATATCAATTTGATAGTTTTTGACAAATTCTTCTATGTCATATCTTCTTTTGTTTGCTCCTAAGGAGCTTACATTTATTGCACAAAATTTTATTGAGGATAGATTCTGCTGGATCTACTTCGTCGTTGTTGAAATGCTGATTTGGACTAGCCATTTTAGAAGTCAAATTGGCTTAAAATATAATCTATTCTACGTGAGTTTTCTGTAATTTGTTTATTTAGTGTGTTAAACTGCTCCTTGAGTGCTTCAGTCAAACTGTTTTTGAAATTAATCATCATATTCTCTATCTGGCTAAAGTTGTTACTGTTGCCTCGAATATTTGAGTTGTAGCCATCAAATTGAGTAGCCTCCTGACTTTGATATAGGTCGGGATTCGGAGTATCATTCCAATAACTTTCTTGATTACGATTTTCTCTGCGCGGGAGTGCAGGAAAATTCTCCATATTTAGATTCGTTGTATTTGCATAGCTTCGTTCTTTGCTTATATAATTGTTAATTTTGTTGTATTTGTCAAATCTTATTTGTCGTTTCACATTTTGAGATTGAAATTTAAGATCTAGTGCTATAATTAGATAGGGACATTGAGCATAAGAGGCCGGATGTCCTTTTTGTCCACAGTTAATGCAAAATAGGTCTTTTAATTCTGCTTTTTGTGGTTCGCAAACATTACCTTCATTTATTGGTCCGTGATCTTTTCCACATTTTACACATCTAAAATTAAAATGACAGTTTCTACTGGCGTGCCCAATACGCTGGCATCTCCTGCACTGAAAAACAGCTTTCTTCTTGATTTTTTCCCATCTGACTGGTTGATTTAGAACGTATCTCAATTTAGTTAATGCAGCGGCTTTGCTGTCAGGCGATAAATACACAAGAAAAAAGAATCTGTTGGGATCTTTTTTATCAAATTGTAGTTTAGTTACTTTCTCGATGTTGACATCTTGCAGTTTTTTATTTGAGATGAAATTTTTAACATCGTGTTCATTATAGTTTGATGTAACTCCCTTTAAAACCAAGGTTACTTTTTTTTTTCCCTGGGGGTATAAGTATAATATTGTACCTTGTTTTTGTCTAAAATTTCTTTAATCTGTTTATATACTTCTAGATTTAGTGGATTAACACTGATATAATTATTAATTTGTCATATCCAGAAGTCATCTTCATTAATTTTGGCATCATCGAATATTTTAATGATATTTTTCATGTTTGCCTCGTACACGTGGATTGGGGGTGGTCTTGATTTAGCTCTGAAAGCATTCTTGTTTTGTTGCGTTGTATGTTGTGAACCAGGGTTTAATTTTTTTCCATCAGGTGTCACTTTGCTCAAATTTTTGAGTTTTTCAATTTCCTCGTTTGAGTGTTCTTCCAAGGTATTGAATGTATTTGATGTTGAGGCACCTACATTATCAGTGCGTATAGTCCGTTTTACCGTGCGTTTTGGTTTTTCGAAGCCAGATGTCGCTGTGTCTTCATTTTGATCTGTTTTATCAATGTCGATTAAAGAAGTTTGTGATGATGTTCTTGATCTTGGTCGGTTAAGGTTAGGTATAAATTGCGTTTTATTTTTTTGTAAAAATTTTTCAAACCTACTGGTTGTTATCTGGTCGAGTTCCTTGGCTTTTTTCCTCAAATTATCCAGTGATAAGTCTTCAGTAGACTTACTTTCATACCGTCTTTTGTGTATTTTCGTGGTAAATTCGAGTCGGACAGGGAGGCGGGGCCCCTGCGCCACGTATCTTTGGTCAAAATAGCTTTTAACTAGTTTAATTGTTAATGTCTGTATAAACAAATGACAACTAAACACTCACTACCGTTAGAATTAATATTCATATCATATCGTAAAAGATATAATAGAATATCAAGTAAATTCTGTGGGTTATTATAATTTTTCAGTCACTACACTTATGCACGATGCTCACTGCTCAAACGCTCAACGTCGAATGGACTACTAAAGCGGCATGATGGCCGAGCGGACTGTCATTATCCCGTTAGTTCGATCGCACATCAAGCCGTGAGGCGAGGGTTCGAGCCCTGACGGTTGTTCGAATAGTTCCAACACCAACCGTCGGGGTTCGCTCCGGTAGCCGAACTGTACTGGCATGGGCTTCCTCTGTGGTTTCCCCATCGCCACTATTCCAACAACCGATAGAAAGGGGTGAGGACTAGGGTAAATACAGTACAGGAAGCACAAGTCGGTCCACAGCCGCATTGAGAATAGATTATGTGCGAAATTCGAAAGTGTATAAAATAAAAGATGTGATTATAAGAAAGACGTTGATAATATGTGGGTGGAAAGACGTTGATAATATGTGTGTGGAAAGACGTTGATTATATGTGTGTGTTGATAATAATGTAGTGAAACGGATGGCTGGGGTCCGATAAGTCAGTATACTCACAAGAAGGCAGCACAAGTCGCTAGCGACAGCTACCATCTACTCAGCCTTGTAAAAATATGCCCAATCAAATCATATATGAATCAGTTATTAGGGTGCTTCGTTTGAGACGACTATTGTTTTTTTTTCTTACTACGCTGGTCGAAAGTACGGAGTTCCCGCTGCGATTTCATTGCAGAAAGCCTCACATTTATGCCGTGGTCGAATCGCGCATGCGCTCTACGACGGGGAGCCGAAAAAATGTATTCATGCACTGACAACGAGACACAAGGCGGCAGAAAGTCTGAAAGTCGGTAGTCGCGCTCACTCTATTACTTATGTATACAAGCCTAACCTTACTTGTGATTGTTATGAATGTATCTTTTTTGTTATGTGTCAATGATTTTAAGTTGAAACTAAGTTAATTACAGAAAATGAATATTTATTTTAATAAAATGAGACTTGTTAAATATTTAAATTACAAAAAAAAAAGAGAAATATTTTTTATACTGATAGATTTTCTCAAATAAATAAATTCATTATTAAACAAGTAATTATTTGAAAAAATACACAGATTTTTTTTTAATTTTTTTTTTCTAAGCATTTCACGATTATGAATTCATTTTTCTGTTTTTTCTGTTTTTTTTTTTTTTTTTTTTTTTTTTTTTTTTTTTTATTTGAAAATTAGAGTTAATTTATAATTTATAATATATTTAAAACTTTGAAATTATTGAATTAAATTAATATCTTTTTTCAAAAGAAAGTAGTAATATGATAGATTATATATTAATATCTTTATTGACAGGTGTATTTGATGCCCCCCCCCCCCGACCAGCAGCACTCGCTTCGCTTGTGCCGCAAATGTCGGGGGCAGGCATCAATTTTTTTCAACGCAATTTTTAACGTACTTTCGACCGCATGGCAAGAAAACTAGTATACACTACATGGACAGAAATTTGAGAGCCCTGAACTGCGTGCCATGATGCCCTCGGCTTCGCCTCGGGCATATGGCGCGCAGTGCAGGAATCTCAACTTTATGCCCTTGTAGTGTAATATACTATTTTTTTTTCTTACTTTATTCACGGAATATTGTTGTCAACATATAAAAAAAATTAGGAAAACGGCTGACCCTGAAGGCCATCCCTGCAACTTCCCGCTAGTTCCGTTAATACCTGGGCGCTTAAAATTGCGCCTGCGAAGTTCTTGCGCTCTTCGAGCTCAAAAATACACTCTCTGTGTCGTTTTGAGCTCTCCAAGCTCAAAAAGAAACCATTTCTATGCTTTTGAGCTCTTTGAGTTCAAAAGTCTGATAGAAGTTTCATAGAACACTATTTTTTGATTTTTTAAATCGAATAACTTTTGAATGAGTGAACCGATTTTTACGCAGTTAGAGACATTCTACGCAATTTTTTAAGCCTTATAAAAAATTTCTAAGTTTCAATTGGTCAAACTAGAAATTTCGAAGTAACTCCGAAAAAACACTTTTTTCGATTTTCTTTTGTTCACGATATCTCTCGAACGAATCAACCGATTTTGACCGGATTCTGTACGAAAAGAGGTGGTACTAAAAGATCTTTTTCTTTACATGAAATGGTTCAAATTCAAAATTTTTTGCATATAAAAGTAAGATAACTCTTCTTTAATATCAGTTATGTATTAAAAATTGAATTTTATGTTAATCTGTGACATGATTCACGGAAAAACATTTATTAAATGGGACGGTTTCAATATATCAACGTTAATTTTTGTGATACTGGAAGGCATGCAACAAGGGACGGTCACCTTGTTGCATCACCTCCCCAGTTCTTTTTATAATCTACTGTTCGAAAGTGCTAAACTTATTTCAACTCAATACAGGTAATAACACTCACTCAGGAGCGTATGCCGATGACACGGTAGTATATGTTGCTCATGGTAAAATTCCAGTAATAGAACAAAAATTAACAACAATAGTGAACCAATTGTATCATTACTTGAAAGAATGGAACCTTAAGATGAATGCTGATAAAAGTGAAACAATACTTTTTAGAAAAACAGTAAACGAAATAACACCTCAGACTGTTCTATTAATTAAAACTTTTCAAATACATATTACAGATAAAGATTCAGGAAGATAAAGAAGACCTCAATCCCTAACAAAAAGAAAGTTAGATATCTCGGAGTAAACTTTAGTTACCTGTTTAGAATGAATATCCATCATGCAGTTCAATTAGTAAAAGCAAAAAGGGCTTTCAAAGCCAACTACAGGATATTCTACAACCAAAATATAGAACCTAAAGCAAAAATTATTTGCTACCAATTGTTAGTACGACCAATAATATCGTACGCTGCTCCTATCCTTTGGAACACAGGCCCATCGGTGATGGAGCACTACAGAAAATTTGAAAGGTCATGCTTGAGAGCATGTTTAGGCCGATACAGGACCGCTGACTCAAACTACACCCTACGCATTGATAATAAAACCATCTACGATGCTGCAAGCATACCGAGATTTGACTCATTCTGCCTGATGCTCACCAGAAACTATTTTAGTAGCCTGTATCAAATTGACAACGAAATGCTAAAGAAACTGAAGGTAGAAGAAGAAAAAACAGCACTACGTATGGCTCGGAGCAACTACTCCCCTCCAGAACTGTTCACAAACCTAGACAAAAGGGGTTGTATCCAGAATAGTGTCAACATACCCATAATATATCATTCACAACGTCACTGTGCTAGAAAGGCAATATACACGGATCCAGAAAACATGCCAAGAGACAAATGGGTATACTCGACGGCCCTACCTGAAAGTGATATTAATTGTCTGGATAGACTTAATGATAAATACTGGTGGTTGCAAGGAGATGCAAAATTCATGGACGAGTTGAGACGGCGTGCTCGATTAAAAAAGCAACAACAGCAGCAGCAATAGAGAACTGCGTCAAAGAATCAACGTCGATGAAGATTGATATAATATCAAAAGTTTTATTAGACTAAGATTGATTACATCAGATGTATTATTGTAAATTTTGTAAATAGTCCCTTACACCCTTTCCATTCCTCTTCCTAATCCTCTCTAACCCTCTCCTCCCTACACATACTATAAGGTTGCATTGGTTTTTTTAAATTAATTTTATTTTTTTTACCTCAGCGCTAAAAATACAGATGTTAACTATAAAAATATTTATAAAAGATATTAAAACTTCAATATATTGTAAATTGGTAAGAAGCATCAGCTGATGACAAGCCAAAAAGATTTTATGAATGTTTAAGTTGTTGTAAGACTGTTTATTATTTATATAATGTATATAGAAAAGATGATAAATAAACTACCTTTTTAAAACCAAAAAACCGCTTTAGTATTGCATTCTACGTTGAGAGCTTGAGCGGCACGCATCGTCATACCAAAGCTAAGTGAAAAAATTGATTTAAGCCCAAAGATTCGTGATATTTATTGTGTCATATGCAAGTGATATAATTTAATCAGTGTCCCTGACGGCTGTGAGTGTTTGTTTGTTAAATTATTAAAACTAAAAGACAATTCACCAATTAAATAACAATTCTAACCAAAAAGGCGTGGTACAGGGGTCTCGCTACCCTGTGCCACTAAATTTTAATACAACAATGAACAAAAGAAGAGCGGACAGTAAATCAACAGAAGATTTATCAGTGGCTTAATTAAAGAAAAAAGCCAAGGAACTTGACCAAATTACTTCAACGACAAGATTTGATAAATTTTTTGCGAAAAATAAATCTAAAATTATTCCCAACCTAACAAGACCTAGATCAAGATCAGCATCACAAGACCCACCGGTCGATAACAGAAAAATTTTTTTTTTTTTTTTTATTAAAAAAGTAATATAAAATACAAGGCGTTTGTTTAACCAATGTAGCCAAAACAGAAAAAATCCTGAAAATGACATTGCAACGCCATCTGAATTTGTTACGCCAAAGCAGACAGCAAGACGGACAAAACCTAAAGATAATACAGGTGCTACAACTTCGAACAAATACGATCTCTTGAATACTCCAATGAGCCAAGAAAATGAAATACAGTAAACTTTCTATAAAGTTTCGGTCTCGAGGGTAGCAAACTATTCAAAGTAGATCTCAAAAAGGCGTGGCTTTTTTTTTATAAACCAATGGATTTAAAGAATGGTAACTCACCAATACACTGAAATACTGCCCGGGAAATTTAAATATTCGTTTTATATTGATTGTAACTCTTTGTCACAAGCTTTATGTATTTTGTAAATTGCAGTTCTTGTTACTCTGTATTGATCAGATATGTCAGTTTTTAAGTGATTTCCATCGAGCAGCTTAATAATATCTATTTTTTTTATTGATAAGGCTAAGATAGTTTAGAAAATAACTGTCTTATCAACCTCACACTTATGCTCTCACATATAAATATGCTTCGCCTAATGTCATGTGGACGAAGGGGAAATATTAAAGAGAAGGGGAAAACATTGAGGAGAACGGAATTATTCGCAGCGGAACTTTATAGAGATTTTACTGTAATTTCAAATAACTCTACCAGAGCGACTCACAGCGGAAAAAGTCCAAACTCTAAACCACAACAAACGGACTCCCAAAACAACAACAAAAGCGCCAATGCTTTCAAAGTAAAACCAAAACCCCCGCCTATTCATGTATATGAGGCTAGGGTGTGCCAAAATGTAACTCCCGTGGAGAACCTTTTAAAATTGGAATTTTGAGTTCCGCTTTTAACAGGGGCTGTGTTTGGGCATTTCATGAGATATTTTGGGGGGAAACGATGTATTTGATTATTTATAGGATTTTTACCAGGAGATTTAATTGGGCACTTCCGGCCAAATTTTAAATTTTCACCGGAAACGCCTAAACTATGCTTCTGTTAAAAAATTCTATGAAAATCAAGTACATCGTCTCCCCCCAAAATATCTTAGGAAATGCCCGAACACAGCTCCTGTTGAAAGCGGAACTCAAAATTCTAATTTTAAAAGGTTCTCTACGGGAGTTACATTTTGGCACACCCTAATATGGGGCAAACATGAAAAATATTGTTAAAATTATTATTGATGCGACAATATCCGAAGATGACTTCTGGGTTAGAGAATTAAATAATTATATAAGTGTCAATCCGCAGAATCTTGAAACTTATAAAAAAAATTAAATAACTAATGGATACTAATTTACTCAAATATTTTACTTTTACTCCAAAAGAAGAAAAAAAAAACCTGGAAAACGGTTGACCCTAAAGGCCATCCCTGCAACTTCCCGCCAATTCCACACCTAAACGCTTGAGATTGCACTTATGACGTTTCTGAGCTCTTCGAGCTCAAAAATACAATTTGTGTATTATTTTGAGCTCTCCGAGCTCAAAGAATTACCTCTTGTATGTTTTAGAGCTCTTCGAGCTCAAAAGCCTGATAGAAGTTTAATACAACAGTATTTTTTGAATCTTCAAACTACAATCATTGCTAAATAAATGAATCGATTTTCACGCGGTTGTCAGTAATCCACGCACTTTTTCAGAATCAAGATAGACTATTGAACACAAACTGATCGAACCGAAAATCTTAGAGAAATTTGAAAAATTCACTTTTTCTGAATTTTTTCAAATTTTTTCGATAACTCACGAACCAATCAATCAATTTTCACGTTTTTGGTGGCGATCGACGTGATTTTTTGGGCTCTAATAATTATTTTATTTCGTCAAGAAATGTCGGTTATCTGAAAAAAACACTTTTTTCGAAATTTTTCGTTTTTGATAATTCTCGAACGAATTAACCGATTTTGATGGGACTGGTGGCAATCGACGTAGTTTTTCAAGATTGAGAGCTGATTAGTTTTTGGAAGTGATCGGTGAAGCCATTTAAGAGATTTTTTGAAAAAATGTTTTTTTTTAATTTTTCGTTTTCGATATCTTACGAATGAATCAACCGATTTTAACCAGTCCAACAGCGGTCGACGTATCTTTTCAAGTATAAGAGCTGATTAGTTTTTAAAAGTGATCGGTGAAGCTATTTAAGAGATTTTTTGAAAAAACTT